TGAAAAAATCTTGCAAGAAATTCCGACTAACAAACCGAAATCGCTTCTCTCGCCAGTGCGCATTTTTCTCTCTGAAATTTCTTTGTTTAACCTGACGTAGACCAACTTAAACGCTTAAAATGCACATGGGAGGGCAGAATGATCGGTTATATGCGCCTTAAGGCTGTACGATAGTCTTTATTTATCGCTGAACTATCACACAAAACTAAAGATTAAAGAAATACGATCGAAATCATTGCAATTATTTCTAAAATCAAACCTGGGCGATAAGTCAAAAAAGGATAGGCATAAATAAATGTGCTAGGAATGATAATATGATCTAGTAATTTAAATGTAATTTAGATTTAATGAGAAAGACTGATAGAAATAGGTTTCATTCACGGTAACTAAAGCACAATTGAAGTTTAACGGGAAAGTTTGCGCAACACGCTGATAAGCCGCACCTGCCCGACTCCTTCCTTTCCGCCTGCAACTCGCATAACAGTAACATTTTTCAAAGCTTATTACCACGCAATTGCGAGACGTTTGCTTCTTGGAAAAAATCAATTATTTATATCGTACACTGTATAAATAAGGTAAACGACGATGATTATGTGCTTGGTGGATAACAATAGACGATTGTGGATGCCGCTGGACAATGTTGGACAACGATATACTATATATCCTTACCAGTGTCAGTTGTGTGATCTTGATTGCTTGCAGTGTTACGGATTTGCGTTGGTCGTCGTTAAGGGAGAAAACTGTGGTACCTGTAAAATATTGAAGTCAGTGTGACCAGATCTGGTACATTTTCATGGATAACGATGGATCGTTAAGTATAATTGAAGATGATGATCTTGTGCATCGATGGATAACAATTGACAATCACGGACAATGATGGAAGCGATCGAAGTAGAGTAACGAGGTAATGACTATTCATAATAATGATGGTGGTCATGAGATCACTCTTATTTCATACCTGTAGTGTGGTCTCGACTAGGTCCAGTGTTTCTGGATTGTCTCAATCTTCTGTTTGTTTGTCAATAGCAGCGCCAGGGCGGCAGGGCCGTCCTCAGGATATTTTACAGGGGGGGGTGTAAGGTCATTTAAAACGACTAATGGATGGTCTTGTACCGACTATACTCTAAATGAAACTTTGTCAACTTTCTGTTGGATCACTTGGATGGGTCTATAGTAAGACATAAGACATAACTTATAAATCTCATGATGACAAAATGTAGCTATTTCAGTATTTGTATTTACATAATATGCATAAACATACTTACACATATTTGCGAATACACACAAATATGTTTTAATTTCTCGTGAAAATAGACTAATATTGTATAAAACATATCACCAGATTTCGATATGGTAGATTAAACAGGTATATGTCGTTAGATACTCACTTGTTATGTTGAAAATGGTCGATACAACTTCGTTTCAAATGAATGTGATCAGCGGTTTTGCCAATCCAATGTGCGGCAAATTTATATAAGATCTGTCATGCTGCGCATATGGCATATACATATCTTGAATATTTTACCGACTATGAGTAATTTTCGGTTGCCAAACTAAACCAAACGTTTAGTCGTCAAAAATATTTTTGTCTGCCGACTATAATAGCAATTTTACCGACTGAACCTCAGAATAAACTTTCTGGGGGGGTGTGACACCCCCCCACACCCCCCCGTAGCTCCGGGCCTGAGCAGCGCCAGTTTTTATCACGGACCTAATGACAATATTTACCACACGTAAAATCACAGTTATCTAAAAGGTATGAAAGAGTTGTACTTCATCAGTTGAGTTAATTCTCACCAGAATAATTGCTTATCAAAACTTTGCGAGTAAACTCATGTTTCGCTCTTCAAAATCAAAATCCCTCGTGTCGACAGACAGGCATCAGATGTAATCTAACAAAATTTAAGTGTGTGTAGTTTGTGAAGTTTTTTTCTGCAGAGAGTTTCAAAGCAGTCGTGTTTTTTCAGGAAAGATCACTTGAAAGAGATGCCGAACACATCTTGTTTATTGGAAACAAAAATCATTGTTTATTTGATTCATATCGAGAATCATTGGCATTGAATTTAAATCTGATTTCACATGAGATAAAATTGAAAAATGAACGAAACTTACCTGGAAGTTGAAATTTGATTTGGATTGTATGAGTCATCAGCCTGGAGTGTGAGAGTTGTACGAGAGAGAGTGGAGCGCATGCGCCAATCACTCTTTAGAGCTATAGCAGACAAAGACCGCACGGACGTGATGAGTGTGAGAGTGGACTGCAAGTAAGGGAGTGGGAGAGAACAGAGGGGGGGTACAACTCTCACTCCCAGCCAAATCAAACTTAAACTTCCACGTGAGTCTCGTTTAATCTTCAATTTTATTTCGTCATCAGCCAAAGTCATGTGACGTTGTACGAGATTTCAGAGCAATCAGTGAGGACTTTATCCTGCAGAGATACACAAACCACTCTAACTATAGCCAGCGCGATAAAACTAAGTTGAAAGATTTATGGATATATAGATAAGTGTATTATATATCAATTTTTTTGGGGAATTTTATTTAGTCTTTTAAGCCCGGTTTATAGCTACTATACCGGACTCGCTCGTCACGATATCTTCGCAGTTTGCCTTTAAAGAGCAATGGTTAGTTGCAAATGCTTATTGGTTTGAAAGATTATAGCCGGCAGTATATTTCTATCTCTGACAGTAAAATTTTTACTGCCTTTTACCTAATAACTAGAAAATTTGAGCCACTTCGGAAGCAATTCGTATAGTGCATCGGGGCCTTATAAAAATTTCATACACGAAATAAGTACTATAAAGGCATGTTTTATGTGCCTTTGAGATAAAGTTAACCATTGCGAGTGAGAGAATGAACGCTCACATTTGCAAAAACTGCAATCAAAATCACAATTGCAAAAACTAAATAAAATCAGTTAATACGTTGATGGTTATCACCAGTTCACACGTTGCCGGCTGATTTTTGCAAACAAAAATGGACGCGATTCATCTCACTGACAATGAAATAATTGCACTGCCACGTAAATCTGCATATCGTAAATCATCACCGTAGCGAAACTCTTGCAGTTAGGTTGGACATTCGCATGCATTGTTCTCTGACAGTAGAATTTCCTTACGACTTCGAACTTTTATAGTGGTTAGCGTTACGGTTTCGCATTTTCTTACACCGGAATCATGTGAACGTAAGGTATACCATGCCTGGCAGGTATGCTTACGAGTCGACATTACGCTTTGTTGATGTCATGCAGGTAATTAGTTAAATTTAGTATCAACGTTATAAGATCACAATGAACGTATGCAGTAATGCGGTGTTCCCAGATGTACCATGTCAATAGGAAGCATGTTTTGTAAAATTTTCGTCCTGTACATATTGTGTATTTTTGTAAAGACCAAGCTAATATTCTCTCCTCAAGTTACCAAAACATTGTTAGTAATCTTGCCATCCCGTTGGCAGACGTCGTTAACACTTTTATCTAAAATACAGTCTATTCTCCATCTGATAATTTCAAACTTTTCGTCAAAATCAAAGAAATTAACTCGAAAATTCAGTTCATTCATTTGAAGTAAACTTCTGTCTCTATAGTTATAATGAAATTCGATGGAAAGGTTTTTGCCTGTATTTACAAAGATCGTTCACGCTCAAATGAATGGCGGAATGCCGGTGATTACGCGATCTCCACTGTGATAAGCTTGATGATCTCTAAGCGTTTTAAGTCTTTTTGTTGATACGAGCACTTTCACTTATGTGAGCTTTCTGAAATACTAACACCGAAAAATTTGAACTGCTTGTATATAGCTGCTCTGTTATATGCAACAAAACGTGTTGTAACACGACTCTCATGCAGCACACATGCACATGCATGCAAAATGAACAATGCACAATCCACTATTATGAAATAATTACTGCTATATAAGTTAGCTTTATAATAAAGGCAGTTAATGTCTTCATTAGGCGAATTGCGCGAATAAGAAATTATGAAGCTGTAGAACTTGTCGCTGTGTTAGTTTTCGACTATTAAGCTGCCCCATATACGACCCCGACGATCCGGTATTATTCAGAAGCTAAAACACATCAAGAAAACGGGTGGTTTAATACTATGAATGGATAGTATTAATAGATAGTTTTGTTGAAGTTGTTCTGTCTTCTTTTATTAACTTTGCCTATATTATTTAGTTGCTATACCTAAAATTGATTAGCTCGCAATAGATTTGGAACCTGAAACGAATTGTCTGTTTTATTTCTGTAGACACAGATGTAAACTAACATTTATTTCATTGACAATAATTGTCAAGGCCCACACGAACGGGACGCGATTTGGCAACGCGGCGCGAATTTTGAACGTTTTTTATTTTCCAAAATTTGCTTCTAGAATTCAATTTATATGCTTCTAAAAACTCCAAACTCGCGTCGCGTTGCCGCTTCGCGTCCAGTCTGTGTCGACCTTCAAATATACAATATGAAAGCGGCAACGTCAAGATATGATTGATCATAATTTTAATAGCATCGTTGGAATACTATTAGCAAAAAAGTCACAATACAAATAAGTTGATTATGCAAACGAGCGATTCTTTAATAGTACTCAAATGGTTCTCAAATGGTACATTTGAGTAAATATTGTCACTCGTATCCTTAATTGAAATAGTTGTACAAAAAAGGGCAAACTAAATGACGCGTATGCCCTGCAATTAGGTTTAAAGAAGGTGGATTTATTATTCATGTGATTAACCTGGACATATACAAGATGTATTTATTTCCGACAAATCGATGCCTGTAATTTGTTAAAATTATCAGTAGAAAGTTTGAGTAAAAAGAGAAGTTTAGATATTTTGTTATGAAATATTCCAATTGAAATTTTAACATGGCCATTGCGCCATTTGCGTGGAGGGGTATGAGTGTTAACGATCGCTTTAGTTTAATTTGATTTTAATTAGAAAGATTATATTTGATTCAGCGTATTTGATTTGCGTCAGAATGTGATTAAGACGGTAATAAATTGCCAGAAGATGAGCCTTGAGAAGAAAGAAATAAGGAAGAGCATTGAAGGCGAGTTTCATTGTGGGACAAGTGTGCGACAACGAAAGAACGACAGCTGGAATTTGTGAGTTACCAATCAGTGGAGACCATTTTCCAGGTACTGTGAGTTGTTTAGTTGCAATCAAGTTTAATATCTATATAACAATGCAGCGGCGTCATATAATCAACACCCAGTCAACTTAGAATATATGTATAAATATCTTACGAAAAATCTCCATGGATTGTGTGTGGTTTTGCGCAACTGAAAAAAAAGCATGGACACACATAAAACACGAATATCACTATAGACACTGACAAATCTTCCAGCCTTGTTTCATATTAATAAAGAATTACAACAGCTTGTATATAAATATGGCACTCTGTTAATATTTACTTGAAAAATTATATAGCTAAAGTTGCAACAAAATATATAAATAGAAAGAAGTTTCATTTCCTTCAACTAACTGTAGTTCTATTTAAATGGTATGCCTAAAATTCGTTAAATTTACATTGATTAAAACCTGAAATACAGTGAACATTTGAGAAAAGGTTGAAGCGAAATAGTTTATTTCTGCATATCTATACAGGGCGTCTGAAAAAAATCGCCACTGTAACAATACAGCGATTAAATTTTTACATAGAAAGAAAGAGGCGTTTTTAATCTTTCTATGCAATACTCTTTTTATTCTAAAAAGGCGAGAAATAACCAAATAATCGCGGATTTAAAATTGCAAATTGAAAACCACATTTTTTTAGCTTGGATTTTCAGCACATTTTTTATATTGGATTTCTTGGCACATAAACCATTAAACGTCAATTCTTTTTGAACATTCAATCGGGCAAATCATTTCAATATGGTATTATTGGCAACGTTAACAACCACTCTTTCATACTACATAAGAAATGAATCATTTAATCTTCCGCCTAAAAAGTTCTGTTATTTTCCATTTCGTTTTTTTTGAGACACTGTATACTATTGAGCTATTTTAATTAAGGTTGTGAATGGCGACTGTCAAATAGTGAACGACAATATGAGGAAATAAATTATGAATGATTATAATTTTAATAAATGTTATTAATACCGGAATACTATTAGCAAAAATAGACAACGCAGAAGAGGTTATGATGCAAACGAGCGACTCCTTAATAGTAATCAAATGGAACATTGAGTGAAGTAATATTGTCACTCATGACGTTAATTAGAATAATTGAACAAAAAGGGTCGAATTTGATGATATATTTCTGACATAATTATTTTCGGTTGTAAGGGCGAATATACTTTTCCCTTTTCTCTTGGCAAAATTAAGTCCAATCGATCAATATCGGCAAGGAGAGCTTTAAAATGAGTAATTTACCATGAACAAAGCATTAACCTCAGCTCATTGTACGAGCAAAAAGGCGGCCGTCAACGCACAAGCCGCGGACGTATGCAAGCGGAGGCTGGTCTTAGGATTGAATAAACCTTTTTCATAATGACGTCAAACGCAGAAAGTCTGCGTTTGACATCATTATAAGAAAAGTCTAGTGTGATAGCTGCATTGTGACTCGGAAATTGAACGTCGCACGCACGCACCCTCACACACACATACACACACGCAAACTACACTCACAAAAGACTGACAATGTTTCTATTTGTCACAATACTTTTTTCATACATGAGTTGAAGAAGGATGTTTTGTATCTTTGTGCATAGCATACGAGATTATAAAACTTGAAAGGCATCTCATTTAACGTGGGTTTGAATTTAAAACGATAATGTAGTGATTGACGTAATTATATAGAAATAATCAGTTTAGGATACTTCGAATCTAATCTGTCGCCAACGTGAAGAAATATTGTCGTTATTTTTAGAATTTTACTACAGGGATAAAATTATAGACTACCCGTTTATAGTAATCAAATTTAGAGCCGTATGTAAAACAAAATTAAAACAGGGTTCCCAACACTATAGCGAGTGTTTTCAAGTAACGTCATAAAGAATGTAAAAATTTCAAACCAACGTTAAAATGTTTGCCCATGTACTCTCATTGATCATCAGGAGGTAAAGACTAGCCTTCCATGCCTTCTATTACTTGGAACGGCCTAAACACTGGCTGCATATCACTACTTACATGCTTCGTCTATGCCGAGCTAGAAGTTGAATATTTGTTGCAACTGGATTATAACAAATTCGTACGCTTGCACGCTATTATAGCTTTTTTTTTGATCCAGCAAAATTTTATTATATTAGCTATTTGCCTAGTTTAGTACTTTAAATTAAGATGGGTGCAAGATGGGTTTCTCTAACGGATTCCGCTGTTCAGTTACTTTGTAGGGTTTAATATGTTTCAACTTTCAAGATCAAGATAATTTACATGAAAGTTCATATTTTCTTATGCAAACTGTTCCACTTTTCTCCAAATAAAGTATAAAAATTTTTAAGGTTTGTATCCTTTTTGGGTTTAGACGTTGAGAGAAATCTTTGTCATCGTCGAAAATGATCATCTTCTTCGCCTTATCGAGTTTTATCCTCCTGGCTGAGATTGCAATTCCTGGTAAGAATAAGATTATGATGATTGATGAAGAAGTAAAATTGTTTTATAATGATAACTTTTTGGTGAATTCATAATTCGTTGCAATTCGCAAACCTATATGTATAAAAACCAAATAACATAATTATGTGCAATGATTTCCAAATTATGACGAATAATCAACACAATAATGCCAATAGATGTCTGTGTTTGCGATATTTCTTTAACTTTGGGAGCCAGATGATAAAATTTGTGATTATAAACTCCAGATTAAGAGAGAGATTTTAAAGCAGTAATGCCTGGAAATTATGCAATTGTTTGTCAAACGACTGTCTGATTCATCAAAAATTAAATGCACCCTAAAATTTAAACAATAGAATAACTTGATTCACGTGTGAAAATTTGTGTTGACGTATCAACAATTTATTAAGTTTGAATCGCCATACACATTTGGATGCAAATGTGCGTCCCTTAAGCTGATTATGCCATTGGAGAACATGCATTATACTATACCTAAAGCCCTAATTCCACGGGCTAAATTTTCCATCGAAATGCGAAATATTTCGCCTGCTTCTTTTGAATTGTGAGCAATGAAACAGAATTAATCAACTCAAGTGTTCAAAATTCAAAAGAAACAGAAAAAGCGCCCATGGAATTAGACCCTAACGAATGAAATTAATTAGTTAATTAGTTAATTACAGTTTTCCATTCAGTGTGAATTATCTTGGAGTTTTTTACGTAATGTAAAATATTAAGGGCTTCGTACACAGCAAAATTAATTTTTCATTAATTCAAAATTAATTAAAAACCGACCATCTTGAGTTTTTAGTCAAAAAAATCCGCGTAATCTTTCTCACATCTTATTGCTCTAAATCACAGTTTCGACTGAAACGGACATGATTTGTCAGGCATTTCTTCTCATACAATTGCTAACAACTCAATTTGATATTTTATATGGGGGGATACGTATACTTTTTTAGTCCATCCAGGATATATAATATCTATCCAGATTATCCTAACCTTGCAATGGGTATCATTTTGATTACCTTCTTAAGTTTTTTCACTATTGGCACTGGACTAATTTTGACATATTTCCATTGAAGCTGAGTCGCTTTGTGGTTGTCGCGTCCCATTCAAAGTTGTTGGATGTAAAAAGGACAAACGTAATGACCGGGCTCTACCAGAGATGTTGATCAATGAGAGAGATAGATACAGTAGCAGCTACAATGGTTTTGATGTTGACTGGATGAATTGGGATGAATATTTACCTGCTTTTACATGTCGCTGTGCTGAGGCAGCCATGAAGAAAGGATATAAATATTTTTCACTGCAGTTCTGGGGTAGGATATTGGATATTTGGTTTGCCCCTTCCTTTACCTTTCCCTCTGGCTCTACCCTTAGATTTTTTTCTAATAGGGGAGTGGTGTTCTGAAGATGTGTCAGAACTAGAACTTCCCTCATCCTAAACAGCATCTGTAGGGCTAGTATCTTCATCACTACAAAATGTTTTATAGAAATTTTAAAATTCACATATTGTCACCAAAAGTACACTCGAAAAAGAGTCAAAATAATTAGAGATTAGTATACTTTGGAGTTTGGTCTACTCTTTATGTAGAACACACGTCCAAAGGTCATTTTCGTTCGCTTAGGAAAGCGGTCAAATATATTCATAATTATCATGATTTTTTGACAACGATATAGTATATACACAACTTAGACTTAGTGATTCTGGTTTAGAAAGGTTATTTGGAGAAAATACTCTAATATTTACACGTGGAAGTGACGCTCTATATGCAAACGTCACGCATCGTGGCAACAATGAAATAAAAAATTACCTTGAGCTCCAGACCAGAAATTACTCCTATAACTCTCGATTGAGATATTCTTCTTCATCTGAGGACATTCCGTTGTTATTAGCACGATCAGAATCGGCTACATCTAAGATAACCTCCTCAAAAGTGAACGTACTAGTAGAAGCTTGTGATTCTGTATGATCGTTTACACGGTTCCAATTCTGAAATACAAAAAACCCCGTTATAAACCGTAATTACCCTTGACGGGTATATTCAAGCCTAAGAATGTAAATTTGTCCCTTTCCCTCACGAGTGCCTAAGCCTTTGGACCTTAGGTGGCGGTTTTGATCCATCTTTCGTATAATGTTGACTATAATGTTGATATATGACTCAACTTAAGGGGAATGTTGGAGTGGCCCGTCACCAGCAGCGGACAAAGGAATTATGAAACATGCATGGGGGAAGGAATGCTATGGTCCCCAGTATAAGGAATGTGACAGTAAATCAAACAACTGTGTTGGAGCTGAAAACCACAACTTTATATATGAAATACGTAAGTTAACTAAGTTTATAATTTATTATGACGCTAAGAATTCAGTGGCAAAGTATATAGATAAGTGGCAAAGTCCAGTTATAATGTTGGGGTCAGGTGTCAATTGAGACGCAAGTCCTGTTCCTTTCCTCTGTCACACTTATGTCCTCTGTTATCATTATATGCGTATATCATTATATATATATATAATTGTATTTGTGTTGCGACAAATGATTACATTAAATTAAATGCAAGCAATTTCGTTAGTCGAGAGCTATTATCTATAAGATGCTCAGGCAAATCGTCGCAAAAATATTAACGGGTTCGATCAGTCATCGCTTGTATATTTTTTTGGCGAATCCAATTTGCACGTGTTTCAGTTAAGCTAATCAATACATTTTTTTAATCCTCTATAGATTATCTATGCGTGATATTTTAAAAATTTTGAATTTTTCAATTTTCCAAGTGTTGTGGAAAACAAAAACGAATTGTTTGCCGTTTAATTTGGGAAATTTTTTCGAGTTGGTGACACGTGTGGCATTGGGGTACGAAAAAACAACGGAGATTAGTAGAAGTTTGACTGATATAAAATCTTTCCTAATTTTCAGACCCTTACAAGTGTCCAGTTAAATTTGAGCGCTTGGGTTGCTACAGGGATGGAAAGCAGAAGAATACAAATGATCGTCCATTAAGTGACTACCTTCTTACCGATCGGGATAAACGGCATTCTGTGTCCAGTGGTAGAGATATCGACTGGTATAATTATGATACTTACCTACCACAACTGGCATGTCGCTGTGCAATGAAGACAGTTGAAGAAGGATGGGACACTTTTGGCTTGCAGTATTATGGTAAGATATTAGAGAGTTTTAGTTTGACGTTTACAGTTAACAGTTTCGCTGTTAAATTGCTGCTAGCTATTTCTAAAGCTTCAATTTTTTTAAAATCAAATGTCGTTTACACCTGGAAAAGTAGAAAGAGCCTCCATTTTAATAACCGACAATCGACCCACGACATCATGGTAAACCGCCATTATTGCCAATCGTGTTATTTAATCGCTTTCTTAAAGAAAATCGCGATCGGTAAACTCATTAAAAACAGGCTAGAAAAATACCACAAAGAAGCTTTGGATATCCAATATGTCTACTAGGAGTGTTTATACGTGAAACAAGACATTATTACAAAGACAATTCGCTGAGGTAAATGAACGACGTGAAAATAAGTCAAACGGCAAAATTTCAACGTCAAGCCGCGATTTGCGGTTAGCGGTGGAAGAAAAAACCTCAAACTAAATCTCCCTATTTTGGCCCATGCGGCTCTTGTATATAGGTACAGGTTTTCTATAGCTGGCTTTTTCTGTAGTATGTGGTATCCAGACAAACTGTTTTATTGCCATCAACATCTGAATTGGTTTAGCACAATACAATTTGTCTAAACATAATTCATCGTAGAAGGTGTTAATTTCAGGCAACAGCCTGAATTTTGCAATTCAGATTTATCATACTTATTTGCGAGAAAGTAAGCACGACAAAATGTGGTTTTAATTTCAAAAATAGTTCATTGTACTAACGGGCCTTCAGTGCCAAAGTAAATTTAATAGTGCAATAGACCTTTTCCACAATGACGTCAAACGCAGAAAGTCTGATGTTACACGAAGTTTGATTAGCTCGATAGTTCTGTGGAGCCAATCAAATTTCGTGTAACATCAGACTCTCAGCGTTTGACGTCATTATATAAGAAAGGTCTATTGTCAGTCATTAATGCACGAGTAAGATAATTATTTATGGGTGGATGATTTATCACACATTTCTAAATAAATATGACGACAATTTTCCAGGTGAATGCTGGTCTGGAGAACGTGGCAATGTAACTTATTACCAAGATGGTGAAACATCAACTTGTAAGAACAAATGTTTCGAAACTTGTACGAAATATGATTCATTCTGCATTGGAGAACAAAATACGAACTACGTTTATCGTATAACTGGAGGTAAGAATTGAACGCACAGACATGTAGAAAAACTGCACTCGTTGTTAATTTCATATTACTTTCCAACGCGCAATCTGGGAGTTCGTTGCGAACATGTCAATTACGTTCGTTTCAAATGTTCGAAGCAATTTGTAAGAGACTGCCATTTTAAAACTTCTGTCAAATGCAACATGTTTTTTGCGCGAGAGCACGCCAACCCTCCTCCCGGTGTGTACGTTTTTTTAGAAAAAAGCATCTGTTTGCATTGAAATAAATTTCGAAAGTTTTACGGCAATTGAGATAAAGATATGTTTTTGAAAAGTTAATCTAAAAAGCATTCTACAACGTAGTACTTTAAATAATTTGTATATTTTTGTTCAAATATCTTTAAACTGCTTCACTGTATATTATTTTGGCCCGCATTCTTGAATTTCCTCCAAAAGTAAAAAAATCATTGAATATTTACAATTTTCCCTACTTGTTTCTTGTAAATCAAGCCATATCGAAGGCATGCTGCTTGCTACGTGTTTAATATGTCAACTCTTATTTAAATTCTCTTTATTAAAACGACTTTAGAATATTTGGAGTAACTTGTTCTGCAACTAACTATAAGCTCACGAGTCTATTGGTTAGTTTGACACTGAATTAAAAATTCGGCAAAGAAAGAATGTTAATTTTGTCCGAATCTTTGGCCATGATCGACAAAAACAACTGCATGGAATGAATTCAAAATTTGAATAATTTTGATAATTGTAATCAACTGTACAGAAATAACGATTTTTCTAGACGTGTGTGAGATTCCTTACAACGCAACTGGCTGTTACAATGAAATTGAAGCTCAACGAGCTCTTCCCGAACTCATTCTCGATGATGTGAATCCAGCAAGTCCGAAGTTCATGGGAATTATCTCCACAGACTTCAGTGATTGGGAAGAATACATGAAAGGTTTCGTATGTCGTTGCGCAAGGAAAGTGCTGGAGAAAGGATACAACACATTTGGAATCTCCAACGGAGGTTTGTCTATCTTATAATTACTCAAAAGTTGAAATATTCCATGAAAAAGCACACAGTTCGTTACTGCGGCAGCTATATTATACCGTTTGCGTTCAAGTATGCAGCGTCATGAACTACCACTGATGTGTCCCAAAAGTACCCTCATTCATTGACATCACCTTTTTGTTGTTATGGGTACTGTTTTGGTGACGCACTGCATTATTTAACGGATTTGTTTACGTTTAAACATGACGTATTTTGATTATTCGTTCGACTTCAAACGAAAAATACACACATGTCAACCATAAATAATAAACAAAAAGAGCTAAACCAACGTTAAAATTTGCTAAAGGAAACGTTTAACACTTAACGATACGTGTCATGGTTGCTTTCGATGCTTCCTCATCTTGTGCCATGGCTTTCATGCATGCATGTATAAACTTATTGCCTCATGAGGCAATACCAAAAGTGTTTTCCGTGCAACAACCCAATTAAATGCTGATTTGATTGATGCTATTGGAAAAGAGATCCGATCAAAATCTTCTGTTACCACACAAATCACAAGATGCAACAATAATTTTGTTCATATAACTCGTGTCCTTCGGTCGTGACTCTCTCTTCCCTGCATGCATGATACCATCTTCCGAGAGGGTTTACGTTTAACACATCCATGCTGTGTGTAACTATAGTGATGCTTGGCACTACTGTAGTACTATAATAAAACAAACTACGTGTATGTGCAAGTTTTAGCAATAAAACGTGTTCTTATAAGTGTGAAGTGTTGCGTTTAGCAAAGTAGAACGTTTATTAAACATACGTAGCTATGTTTGTTGTTCATTGTTTATGCTTGACATGTGTCTCTTTTTTGTTTTAAAGTCGAACCCTTGATCAAAATACGTCACGTTTTCAACTTGAACAAACACGTGAAATAGCCTCATACTTGTACGCGAACAGTAATAATTAAATGACTTAAATCTTTTCGCATAATTCAAATTTATTTGACACGTCAATTGGATTAAATATTGTTAATTATTTTTTTCTTGCGGTCCGAATTCATATTTTAGCGTTTCCTGCAATCTGATTGGCTACGCGAGCGGTTCGTATGAGGCCGTACGGACCGCTCGAGATTTAAAAGCACATGGAGCCAACCCTAAAATATGAATTCGGACTAAAAGAAAAAAAAAAATCTATTATTTACCAGTTTAGTCGGTCCGTATAGGGAAATATTTCCCTCGGTCTCAAAAACGTCCTTCGGCTTTCGGCCTCGGGCTGTTTTGAGACCTTGGGAAATATTTCCTTATACGGACCTCCAATCTGGTAAATAACATATATATATACGTAATACTGTTAGACAAACAAATACAGTTACACTGTAAAATCTGATTGATCAAAATGACCTAAAAAAATTGGTCACTTGGATGCATCTGAGAGAACCAGTTAAAATTGGTCGTTTTAGCCAATTAGTGTATACACTACAAAATTAAATATAGCGCTTTTGAGATAGATTTGACCAATTTCCGTAGGTAATTAGGTAACAATCAAATCAGAACCCAGGCTTTTTTACATAACTTTCGTTTAAAGCCATAATGCTCTTCATCTCACTAGTTTTTTTAGTTGCCACGCGCAGTCAACAAAGTTGATGTGTCATTTAATACCATTTGCAACATTTAATACCATTCATGATTATTTCTGTGACAAGACATCTTCTTGTTTCCATGCAATGCGTATAGGAATAATATACTTATGGGACATAAACAGTTTGTTTGTATAAATTTCATCGATTATATTCTTAGGTCAGTGTTACAGCGGACCCACAGCTGAAACAACTTATAATAAACATGGAGAAAGTGACGAATGTTTTCACAACGGTACAATTGCGTGTTCATCTGGCATTTGTGCTGGTGGCAAGGAAACAACCTACGTTTACCAACTTTAAGATGAAACAAAATATTGTGCGAGACTGTGAGGAAATCACTAGTACATTTATAATGTGTTGTTATATAAGGCCCTTATGTAAGTGTGAGTGATGTGTTTGAACAATAATTATCTTTGAGACAGTTGAGAAATTTGAAGGTTTCTTGCTAACAAGTTAAAGTTTCGACTGAAACAAGATCTAGTGTGAAATTGTATACTTAAAAGAAATAGAAAAAAAACGTCTGATTTTTTGTGTTGTTGTTCTTTGTTAAAATATTCCAGTTTTTGTTGAAATCGTGGATCAGGTAGTGTTTGACACTTGACGATCAGCATAGGTGTAGGTTAATATCGATCGAACGTATCCACGAGGAGAGTGACAAATGTTTTAACCAAACTGCTTAAATCCATTTTGACTGCCCCCTCTCGGACTCAATGTGGAAATACTAAAATCTCTTTGGGGTGTCAAAAGAAATTATCAGATCTGAATACAACCCACCCGGATCATGCATGGCTGGTGCCAAAACAGGAGCGTGTGGAACAAGCGGAAATATTGTTTGGGGAGACAAATAGCTTTCCACAAACTTACCGAGATCAGGATTAATCCCGCCATAGTAAGTACCCATAGCAGTCAGTGTGAAAAACATGCTTCCCTTCCCCTTTCTGTATTGAAAATTAAATCCCGGGGACCAAAGGAAAAATTGTGATTTTCATCAATTTTTTGAAATTTCAAAATTTTGACCAAAATACCTTAAAATGGATCAAACCTAAGTAGAATTACATTCTATGATGTTACAAATACATTTGAACACATAAAATCATACTTTGACCAATTTAGAAATTTCACAACAATCGCTAGCCGGGATAACCAAAGGAAAAATTGTGATTTTAGTCAATTTTTTGAAATTTCAAAATTCAATTCAAAATACAACGCAATGGTTCAAAACTGATCAAAATTACATTCTTTGAAGTTACGAATGCATTTCATCACATGAAATCATACTTGATAAATTTCAGAATAATCGTAAATGGGTGCATGACTAAAGAAAAAATTGTGATTTTTATAGCCAAATTTTTTCAAATTTCAAAATTAAACTAAAAATACAACGCAATGGTTCCAAACTAAGTAAAATTACATTCTTTGATTTTTCGAATACATACAAACATACACAATCATACTTTTGATAAATTTCTAAATTTCACAACAATCGGTAACAGGTGTTAGTTCATCAATCCGCATGATTTGAGTCCCTAAATTAAACAATAGTACAATACCAGAAATCATTCATAAACATCAAACATCTTCATCAACCTTACAGCAGTAAAAAAGCGACAAAGACATTCAGACAGTCAACTCTGCGTTCTCGTTAGTGCCTTCAGCTCGAGAACTTTCAATTTTGCAAAAGTCGGGATAAATCCCCTGGCTTTCCCTGCGAGTTTTCAAGTTCATATTTCAAAATATCTGACATTGAAAAAAACTCCAGATTTTCTACTAATTGTGGACTTAGTCTATTCATCATTAATACTGATGCAAGAGATAGTTTGAACGAAGACTCCGCCATTGTTGGGTATATACCATTGCAGTATGGTAATCCAGGTTATATTCCAATGGTAGGCCATAATCTCGATGAATCACCCTGAATTCTTCTGTAGCTAAATTTGAATTCCACAACAAGAAACACGGCATGTTTAAGGCCATTTTAAGAGCACATTAAATTGTTATTCCCAATTGATTGCATATAAAATCCAACTTTGTTTTAATTTCAAATACATAACTTTGAAGTTTGGGACGACACAAATAGAGAAAAAGGACAAACCTACTGCGACCATTCTATTTCTTGCCACAATCACATGGGGGTGCTTTTCAACATCTCTCCGCTTAATGAAGACAGTTAACCAAGACCATTATACACACTTATACAAACATTGTGTACACTTGATCTTTTGCTCAGCACACAAAGCATCACCGAAACCAGTTCTTTGATTTAATGCTGCACCTACTCCTTCGAAAAGGTTGGGACGAATACCAAATGCTAAAATAAACTGGATAACAGTCATGATGATTTTATGATCTTTCACGCTCAGATCCATTCCATTACGGGAACTCGTGTTAATTTTTTAGATCTCTTGAGACTTTTCAAAGACAATTTAAGAAGCTATTAAGAGCTCGGTTCTTGCTCAAATATTCCGCAAAACGACAACTTCAATTCCTGACATGATCTCAAATGTTCCTCCGTTTCTAAAGCTCGCCAACGCAAACATAGGTTCAACGCTAACAAATCATTAGAGTTGGTTGTGGCTTTAACGGCTAAGTGCATGCCTGTAGCTTTACTTCGATTGGTGAGGTAACGGTTAGGTGCACATACATCATGGTCTGGGGGCCGTAGTGCATCTCCCCTTAGACGGCCGTTAAGATGTGAGTTATGGGGGGGAGTTTTTCCTATAGCAACTGTCCTTGCACCTTTCGTAGTTGTAACTATGTTGGTATATTGCAGCTCTGGTTGTATAACCGAGTTAGATTGTGGCATAGGCTGGATGATCTCTTTTGGGTGTTTTTACGTTCTTTCCCCATTTCTTTTTTTTTTGGATGTTTTTCAAATTTTTCTTTTACATACAAAAAAATACTGGTGTTAAACATATATGGAACGGATATGGTTCGAAAAAAAATTATATCGACTAAAAACCAGCTTAATTAACCCCTAAATACTCTCCCCAGTCTCTGCATGGCTGAGTCTCTGAATTAAACAATAGTACAATACCAGAAATCATTCATAAACATCAAACATCTTCATCAACCTTACAGCAGTAAAACAGCGACAAAGACATTCAGACAGTCAACTCCGCGTTCTCGTTAGTGCCTTCGGCCCGAGAACTGTCAATCAAATATCTGGATAAATCCCCTGGCTTTCCCTGCGAGTTTTCAAATACATATTTCAAAATATCTGACATTGAAAACAACTCAAAATTTTCTACTAATGGTGCATTTAGTTATTCATTAATACTGATCCATGAGATAGTTTGAACGAAGACTCCACCATTGTTGGGTATACCAGTGCAGTATGGTAATCCAGGTTATATCCTAATGGTAGACCATAATCTCGATGAATCACCCTGATTTCTTCTGTAGCTAAATTTGAATTCCACAACAAGAAACACGGCTTGTTTATGGCCATTTTAAGAGCACATTCAATTGTTTTTCCCAATTGATTGCATGTAAAATCAAACTTTGATATATTTCAAATACATAACTTCGAAGTTTGGGACGGCACTGATAGAGAAAGTGGACAAACCTACTGCGACCATGCATTCTATTCCTCGCCACAATCACATGGGGGTGCTTTTCAACATCTCTCCGCTTAATGAAGACAATTAACCAAGACCATTATACACACTTATACAAAAATTGTGGACATTTGATATCTTGCTCAGCACACAAAGCATCACCGAAACCAGTTCTTTGATTAAAGGCTGCACCTACTCCTTCGAAAAGGTTGGGACAAATACCAAATGCTAAAATAAACTGGGTAACAGTCATGATTATTTTATGATCTTTCACGCTCAGATCCATTCCATTACGGGAACTTGTGTTAATTTTTTAGATTTCTTGAGACTTTTCAAAGACAATTTAAGAAGCTATTAAGAGCTCGGTTCTTGCTCAAATATTCCGCAAAACGACAACTTCAATTCTTGACATGATCTCAAATGTTCCTCCGTTTCTAAAGCTCGCCAACGCAAACATAGGTTCAACGCTAACAAATCATTAGAGTTGGTTGTGGCTTTAACGGCTAAGTGCATGCCTGTAGCTTTACTTCGATTGGTGTTGGATAAAATCTGAAATATTGAATATATTCCCTTCAAATCCAGATTCCCAATTCGTACTCGCAAGGTAAGCCCCAAAGAAAGCTAGAGAGGCCTGTGGAGGAGGCTATATTAGCGGTTGGAAGATGGAATTGCACTTTGTTCGCCATATTGAATTTGGACAACTGAGCCAGCACTTTTCCTTTGGAGGGGAGGCCAGGCCAGGGAGAGACCCAACCAAAACCTACACCGTCATATCATGGATAGTTAGTAAGAGAAAAAAAGAAGAAAGATCGAACTTTAATATTCCTCGAAAATACAACAGAATCAGCGAAGATAAAAGATAAAAACTTGTGAAATAAATACATAAAATTTTGGCCCAAATTGTATCAACGAATCAAGCGGCTATACTAAACAAAAAAGTAACGAATTAACGAAACATTTTAATAAAGTAAGCCGTTCAGTCATCCCCGAGCCGGTGCGAAGCACCGGGCGAGGGTACTAATTCCGCCCGGAGATTTTGATTACGCCCGGGAATGCAAATGCGAAATGAAAGTTGTCCGCCATTATGTCATGGACGTTGGGCGTTTTTGTAAGTTATGCGCATGCGTGAGTTTAAGACGAGTTAAAACTGGTAAACAGCAAACGTTTGCAAGCTTGCGATTGGCTAAATTAAAATTTTGGTTTGCGTCAGCATAACTGATATTTTGAATTATAAAACTTTTTTAAAAATATTTTTCATTTGGATGGTTTTGAAAATATACGGAAAAATTCACTCGTAAAAATGATTAAAATGTAAAGCAGATTATGCTTTAGGGTAGAAAAACTTTGATTGAAATAGGTGGTGAAAAATCTACGATTTTAAAGCATTTTTGGAGTGTTTTTGAGCAGGTAAACAGGTAGATTTTGTATTTTAAAGCATGCAAGTATTTCGTAAGTTTAACTTGTAGATTTATCAACAAACGTATGACACCACCTTGAATTTATTCGTCAATTTCGTTAAAATGATTTTGATTGGGAAAGCATTTATTTTTAAAGGTCCATGGCCAGAAATTGCGGACATGGAATATGCAGATTGCCGTAGCAAATTTGCATATCTGTTCAAATATTATTCGTTTGCAGAACTATAAATTATATTGCGCATTCTTAAATTTTGCAAAATTTAAGAAAATCATTGCATCTTTGCTATTTGCCCTGGTTGTTTCTTGTAACTCGTGTCATATTGAAGATCCTGAGGTAATATTTTGCTGGCAAAGGTTTATGTCGGCTCTGCATTTTTATTTTATTTCTACGCTATTACGGTTTTCGTTTTATATGGTATTCAACGTGATAAATGACCAAAACTTTGTTTTGAAAATGCAGGACGAATACTGATAAAACATTTTGAAATACTGTATAAAAATATTAAGATTAACTTGCTCTGCAACGAGCAATTAAGGCAAATTATAATT